AGAGGTAAGCAAATCGGAGAAGAACAAGAAAAAGCTGGAGAGGGACAAGGTTTGTGTGTATGTACGTATGTATGTATGTATGTATGTATGTATGTATGTATGTATGTATGTATGTATGTTTGTATGTGTGTATGTGCGTGTGTGTGTGTGTGTGTGTGTGTGTGTGTGTGTGTTGTGTGTGTGTATGTGAGTGTGCGTGTGTGTGAGTGTGTGTGTGTAAAAGAGATAGAGAGAGAAAAAGAGAGAGTAAGAAAGAGAGACGAGAGAGAGAGAGAGAGAAAGATATGAAGGACGGAAGAAACGGATGTGAAGTTCCCACAGTTCTCTAAAAACGGAGATGTGGACACAATGTCATTATTCCAACATTCAGCCCCATTGTCAGACAGACACACTTGCAAACTAGGATTTGGTCTCCAAAAGATGTCGGTAAATGTATACGACTAACGAGTTACCCGGTACACACACATTCAGTCACACCTCAGTGCTGGAGACGCACAATGAACAGGCACAGAGGGTATCACTGATTCAGGGTGTGCGTACGAAAAGACGAATCGAAGTCGTGCTGGGCCGTCATTCGACTGAGAAATGAAATGGAATTTCTTCCTCACAAATATTGAGACCCGGTTATTTTTTAGAGACACGAACAATGTACCAAAAATAAGGAGAGTTGGGAAGGAATTAAAGAGTTTCTATTTTTAAACAAAACAGAAAACAAAATAAACAATCCACCCTCCTGGGAAAAAAGCCCAAACAAACATTAACGTAATATCCACAAAAACAAGTTTAACAAATCGCGTCCGGCAGGGACCGAGAACACTTCTCATGGTGGTCTTCTTCCTCTTGTGATAACAATCAGGAAGCCTTTAAAAGGCTCAGAAAAAATAATAAAGTACAAAGACCAAATTCTTGGTGCCAAAATATAGGCACAGTGTGAGGCTATGTTCACCCGGGAAACCGTGCATAGAACAATAAAAGGAAATAAAACATAAGATGGGACGATTTTTGTCCCAGAAAATATAGTTGTACAAATTACACGAGTTTGGATGAACATGAACGATTGATATCGTTTCAAGTCTCCACAGATTCTCCACAGACATAACTTAAATAATATTAGAGCCTGGTAGTTTTGACCAAACTGTTGCGGTCCACCTTTGCTGAGAAGAAGACAGTCTGGAAACTAAACTCGAATATTTTAAATGGAGATGAAGGACCTAACCATGACACCACTGAGGCCGGCATGAATTCGGAAAGCAACGCCGTGAATGAGGCAGCAGCGAAGAAAAAAAAAGGAAGCGGTGCTTTGTTACTATGGATACGGAATCGATAAGTAGGGAACGTTCTCAACAGGGGGGAGGATATTTCAGGAGAAAAAAATCCCGATATGCAGCGAAACACACGTTGAACCATTAATTTGACCTTCGACTTCCAAACCCTTGCATCGTCTGCGTATCCCTTTCTCGACAAAGATGACAGCAGGTTTGAGACAGTCCAACATACTCGCTTAAAACAATATCGCGAAGAAGATAACGCTCCTGTTGTAGTTATTGTTGTCGTCGTTGTTGATGTTGTTGTTGTTGTTGTTGTTATTGTTTTTCTTGTTGTTGCTGGTGTTGTTGATGTTGTTGTCGTTGCAGTCGTTGTGATCGACGTCGTTGCTGTTCTTGTTGTTGTTGCTGTCGTCGTCATTGCTGTTATTGGTATTGTTTTTATGTTGTCGTCGACATCATCGTCGTCGTTGTTATTGTTGTTGCTGTCGTCGCTGTTGTAGTTGTTGTTACTGTAATTGTTGTTGCTGTCGTGTTGTTGTTGTTGTTGCTGTTGTTGTTGTTTACGACGAGAACACTCCACAGCAAACAAATCAGGACAAAATAACTTTGGAAACGAAAGAAAAAGAGAGACCAGTCTACAGCTGCAGAGCACCCAAACCACCCGCCAGTTTGGAGAGGCTGACAGGACAATAGTCTGAAAGGATCAGGGACACTCGTTCGTCATTAGTGAACAATCTCATTCCAGTCTGAGGATGGAAACACACACCCGACCCCCTCACCCCCACACACCCTCTATCACCCCCCACACACCCTCTATCACCCCCGCCAACCCCTCCGTGTGGTCAGGGGTGGACAAAAGCCTTAACGGATCGCAGGGAGATCTGGCAGAGACACCTGATTTGATTTACTTCCGGTTCGCCATAGCGAGCTGTGAGCCCCCAGGCGGTTCGCTGGATACAGCATGGGGTACGAGAGGAAGGGGCGGGATGAGAGATCGACTGCAGGACAGAGGGCGAGATGGCAGGAGGGGAAGAGGGAGAGAGAGGGGTATGGAGGGAGGGAGAGAGATAAAGTAAGCAAAGAAAGTGAGAGAAGGAGAGTGAAAAAGAAAGAGACAGAAAGTGAGAAACAAAGAGAGAGAAGGAGGGCTAGCATGAAAGACAGAGATAAAGAAAGAGGGAGAGACAAATACAGAGAGAGACTGGTCTCACATCATCTGGTAGTATCACTGAGTCGCCCAGTGCTGTTTACATCCCCGCACCCCTCTGAAGACACCAAATCGTAGGAAAATACGGACATTGTGAATCTGTGGTTTACAGTGAATTAACCTGATAATGGCTCCCCTTAATAAAGGAACTACATGTAATTCTAACAACCGAAGCTTTCAGAAGAAGTAGGATTTGACCACACCAGGGTGTCTACCAACTGCCTGCAAGACAAGCAGGTGTAAAAGCATTCGTACCGATGGAACAAGCAAGCAGAGCATCTTTTATTATTTTTTTTTGGTCTTAGTCTTTTTGTTTTTTTTGTTTTTTTTCTCCTTGGGCGAGGGATGAGGTGGTTAGTAAGAGGCAATAACAAGTATACACAACTAAAATTGGGAACAGCTCGAACAAAAACATGCGAACAAGAGAGAGATCTTGATTGGGTCTGGGACAAAAGACATCTTTTCTTTTGACCTTGGTTGGGGGGTGGGGGG